TAGGATCCAGTGTAGACTTTTTAATTAAAGGGGTAACATAAGCTCGTTTGAAAATGTTGGGAATAGTAGCGGATGATATACAAGAATTAATAATATTGGTAAAAACTGGAATAACTTCGTCTAGACAGTCCTTAAGAACAGAAGTCGGAACAGGATCTAATGAACAAGATTTAGGAGCAGACGATTTAAATAGCTTTAAAACAAAAGATTCACTAACCAAGTTAAAATTTTCTAAATAAACAGAATTTTCTAACTTATCAAAATCATGAGCGTTAAAGTCAATAGTTTTATTTAAATCATCAAGTTCAGTTCGTATTTTCTGTATTTTTATTTGAAAGAAATCAGAGAATAAATTTGCAAATTCAGTGTCATTATCATTGTCCGGGAGGATAGTACACTGTAAAAAATATCCATTGTTTATGTGGCCGAATTCCGAAGTTTAACACTTTTTTTCTGTTAATCGATGGCTTTTTTTGGGAGAAATTGTGTTAAAAGTATGAACTATTTCTTCAAATTACGTGTTTTATTTATTTCTACGAAATATTCAGTATTAAACAGGAAATTTCCGTGAAATTAGGGATAAAATATTTTATTCCCTTCTATTATGGACTTCATTCTGTTATTTTACGGAATAAAAGGTGGAATGACCAGGAATTTCCGTGAATGTTAGGGATAAAATGTTTTATTCCATTCTATGATGGACTTAATTCTGTTATTTTACGGGATAAACGGTGGAATGACCAGTAATTTACGGATTATTTCTGTTTGCAAATGCAACGATAAGTAATCGTATACATATGTAATCATTCCTAATGATTATCATGTTATAGTATTCATTTTAATTTATTAACCATAATATGCAGAATTATATTTTGTAAACTTTGGTATATTACATGTCATGTATATCCAATTTCCATTATTTATAAGATCTATAAAGTTTATTGTTATTCATCATACGTTAATTAGCTGTAAGTATTTTCATAAATGTATAAAAATATGTTTTAACACTCCGTATGTATAGGTTGTATTATCTGGTGATCAAGCACGCTTAAATGGCAGGGTTTGCATACCTGAAAGCCTTACTGACGATCAGTGGTTTGTGATACCTTCCTCTCGAATAAGATATTCAGTATTCTTCTATTAGCGGAAAAAGATTGCGAATAAAGATTGTCTGCGATATCACTTCGGTGGAAGCGGACGTTAAATAAAGCTATTTCACACACGCGTATAAACTCAATGGTTAATTCAATGAAATTTAATCACTTTCATGCTCGGGAAACAAAAATTACCAGGATGGTTTTTTCCGTGTTTGAAAATAGAATTTATGTTAATTGAAGGAGTTTCTGTAAATTACAGGAAACACAAATACGGATAAAATTTTCCTGGTAATTTTTGTTTCCGGAAGTTTTTACGTTTTTTCACGAATTTTTTTGTTACAGTGTACGCTCAGCATTATGGTCCAAAAGGGAATTCACAACTTTATACAGGTCTTTTTGTCTGTTTTCGCCATTTTCTATTTTATCAGAGTAAAATTTAATTTTAGCATCTTCAATTAATTTATTCACATTGTTTTTTAAAGATTTATAAATCTGTTTATGGACATGTAGATTTGTTTTCCGCCACAGATGTTCAGCCTTATTACGGTCCCTTTTGGCTTCTAAAATAGAATCATTAAACCACTGCGTATTGGGACGAATAGTAAATGTTTTCGTTTGAAGAGGAACAAGCAAGTCCAAAATTTCAGCAAGCTTTGAGTGATATTGGGCTGCCTTCTCTTGTATACGTTGAATGCCATTGAAATTCGAGTTCACTATTTCCGCTTTAAATTTATTTATGTTAAATGATTTAAACCTTCGATATGTTAAAGTCTTTCTTGTTGGTTGTGGTTTCTGGATCATAAGATTAAAAGTTGCCGGGAAATGATCAGATATTAATTTGTCCGAGACAGAGAGATTATCTAGTCAGTTTAAAGAAATTTCTATTTTCGAAAAATTGATGATACAATAATGATCGATGACTGAATCCGGAATGGCTCCACACCAAAAAATCATGGAATTTCAGGCATTTGTTTTGCCGGCTAGAAGGCAAAAAGGTTTTATCTCCCAAATTACTATATAATTTAAATTTTAATTTTTCACTTTACCCGTCTGTACAAAAAATCTGATTTTTAAAAGCGTATGCAAGTTAAATATATTTAATAGCGCTTTTATCTGGTTGATCTTTCATTTCATTTTCTTATGAATTGGACTATACAGTCCTAAGAGCATCTAGAAAAAAGAGCTAAATTTTGGATGTTTGGGTTTGGCCCGGTTCACTGATTTTTAATTGCCTGGTATGCTAATCTAAACAATATGTCCAACTTGAGTGGCATTATTGCTGATATAAATAGTCCAGTTAGATAAGTGTTGATAGCTATAAACCTGCCATTGTGAGTATCAAATGACAACATTTTAATTTCTAAAATAAAAAGCTCTTTTTTATATAAATCATATTTATTATCGATGATGAGGTTGATAGATAACAGCTTAACACTATTATATACAAATTACTCAATATAACACTTGACGAATAGCCTAAAAGTATGTAATACAAGGTTGTGGTCTCTTTAGAGGTAAATTTAATATCTGATTGACTTTAAATTAATATCCGTGTTTACAAAGAATCCTATTGATTTTCACCAAATTCCGATAATTACTGCCAGAGTTACATATATCGCCCTTTATCACTTTGAAAAATCTGGTGGACGCTCTAGGGGCTAAAGTTAATATCCGATTGACTTTAAATATATACACAGTCTTTAAGGTCATCAGACGAAGAAGCCTGTTGATTTTCAACGATTTCTGATAATGACTGCCAGATAGTTATCAACTGATTGATTTTATATTCATACACCGTGTTTACGCCTATATATAATAGATTCGATTGACTTTAGATTGATACACAGAGTTTAAGGTCTTGAGACGAACAAGTATATTGATTTTCAATGATTTTTGATAACTTGAACAGCTAAATACATGACATTAAGTGTTTTGTATATACGTTAGCATGGGCCAAACAAATTCCAATGATTTTCTGATAATTACATAACGAGTTGTTACTCTTAATCAGATTTTAGTGTATTGTAAATATTTCATTACCGACAAATATCTCTGTTCCTTTTGATATTCACGCAAATCAGACCTAATTTCCCGTCTTATGACCCCCAATTTTACGAGAAATCACGTTTTTATCTTGTCCGATTATATGTTTATATCCCAAAGTTCTGGGTTCCAGTCGATACTTCGGACCGTGTCAGCCTGGATTATGATACCTGATTGTACGAAAAACTTGTTTTTAAAGCTTGTTCTCTGTCCATCTCTTGCAAAATGTTGGCGTCTCTTGCATGGCAACGCCTGTTTCCAAATATATTTCATATTCAAGCTGTATATTAAATAACAAATAGATTGTTTTGGGGTAACCTCTCCCTGTATTTAAAAAATCCGTAAATGTTCATATTTTTGAACGAACATAAGATATTTTTGGATCAAATTTTCTTTAATAATAATTGATAAGTTTGTAAATAGTATTGTACCTTGTAGTCACATATAATACATGTACGATGGCTCAATAGGCCCTTTTCTATGGAAATAAATATGCATAGATGAATGTAAAATGCCACTGGCAAGAGTTATACAAAGATAATGTGCTCAACAACGCTTATTTTACTTATGAATATTAATCTCCCCAGGAAAAAGGTCCAAAATCATTTAATTCGATAACATCAAATTGGTCAATGTCAAAGTATATTAGTAAAATAGTGTAAGATATTTTATAGCCTGGCTTAGAGAAGTTGCTGTAGATATTACATCTCATTAAATAAGCATATTATTACCGGTACTTTATGTAATATTTGAATCCATTTTTATACGCTGACATTTTCATGTGGACGTATATTGTCGTCGGCTCTGTCCATCCGTCCGGACGTCCACAATTGTTTGTGAACACTCTACAGGTCACAATTTTTATCCAATTTCAATGAAACTTGAAATATAGGTTAATCCCCCTAAGATCTCGGTTCCTTTCGATATTGGCATGTACTAGACTGTAACTTCATGGATTATGGCCCCCGATTGTACGAAATATTACGTTTTGAGTTCGTGAACAGTGTAGAGGTCACAATTTTTAGCCGATTTGGTTTAAATTTGAAATTTATGTTTGTATACCCTGGCTAAAACAAGATGCTACATCTAATTAAATAAGCTAATTATTACTTTATGTAATATTTGAATCAATTTTATTTTCATGATATAATTATTATATTAAATTGTTATTAAATTTGTTTATTGCTACATTCAATTTGATTATTTTCTTTTATTCTCTTATTCATATGACAATTTATTATCTTTGAGAAGTTGATGACAGGATTCTCTTCAACAAACTTCCATTATCTTTGAGGTCAAATTCCTAAACATAAAGAAATCAGGCTGATTTCTAGTTGGTCTTAAGAGTGTATATTCTTATAACAATAATGTGCACTTATTGTTGTCTAATAATAATAATAATAATAATAGTTTGTTCAGCTATACTTTTCGTTTAAAAAATGTATATTTTATCTCTTTTTCGCGGAATTCTATGAGATATCCATCTACATCCCTGTCGGGTGCAGTCAACTTCGACACAGCAGTATGATAGCCCATAAAATAGAAAGTGAGTAGGTACAAATACTTGGGACCCAAGATGGCGTCTTTCTGGCTTCACAGTTGTCGCAACTTTATCTATATACGGCTTTGTCCAGTATTATATAGATCAGTGGATAGAACCCGGTACACGTGGCTAAATTCTGGAAAATATGACCGAAGCGTCTGAAATCAGAACGGACGTTTCGCCCCAATTAGCTACAGGCAGTGACAGATGCCGTGCACGTGGCGTTCAAGCTTTTCAGTGTGCGCCGGTGTAATTTTGATACCACTTTTCTATTTAGAAGCTTAAACATTAAAAAACCCAAACAAACAGACACTTACCTATGCTTTTTTCTAAGTTATCGAAATTGTCTTTTAGTTCCTGAATTTCCCGCTCTTGTAGAACGTCTAAAGAAGTGGCGTAACCATTTCTGTCAAAATCTTCAGCGAAGTTTCTAGCGTCAACGGGCATGATGTATGTCGGTCGTTTGTTCAGCGTTAGTTATTTAATAAACTATTAACTCTAAGTTTCACTTGTTTTACCTGTGTGGCTTGTAGGACACCCGTTGTGTATTTATAAGGAATTAAACAATTACTTAATCCCACGTACAGTTTGTACTTTGAACTTGTGTCAGTCAAGAAGGATTGTTTTCTTCCAGGAAGCACGTGAGAAAAGCGCGGGTAAAACAATCGACCTTTTTGTTGCATAAGTATACATATTTACACCAGGAAGCATATTCCCGCCCGCCTGTCCATTACTCTTTTCTAGATATGCAATAATTCAATGAATTTGGCTCATATTTGTTGCATAAGTATATATAAATATTTGCATTGGGAAGGGTATTTCCCCAAATGGCTATTTATAAATTTGTAAATATGCAACTGATTAATGAAATAGGCATATGTTGACCTTTGTCTTGCACAAGTAAAGATACGTACCGGGAAGAGAATTTCCCCCCCACCCAATGTCTAATCTTCTGTAGATATGCAATCATTCAATGAAATGCGACCATTGTGAGCAAACAATCATTTATATATATATATATATATATATATTATAATATTACATTGGTGTGTCAGATCCTTTTCTGACTAATCTATCATGGGATTTTATAAAATATAAAATGCGAGGAAGGTAAGATAAGATTCCATTTCACCATGTTTCTTTATCTAAATCTTACATAATGCATCTTTAACAGGAAGCGATGGTAAAAAATACCTGATTTGCCATTCAAACCCGGTGCCGAGTTTCACCTTAATTTTTTAAAGGGACTTTTGTGATTTCTTTTTGGAAGTTTTCTATAGTTAAATACAAACACATTTACTTTTCATTGCAACATAATAAGCAACCAGGAAAATATCATAAAAGAACCTGATCTATGAAGTTAAAATCCTCTTACTTGGGAACTATAAAACAATATTATAGAGATTAAAATAAAACTTAGTGAATTTACGTAACTTAAAGATGTATTATGTAAGATTTAGATAAAGACCTGTAATAGGCAGATTTAGCTCTTACATAAATTAAATCCAGCAGCACACGATATGTAAACATCGTCACGTAAGAACCAGAAATAAGATCGTATAAAAGCATGTTTAATCAAACTCAATTTCAGAGATTTGTAATTTATATATAAATATGTATTATAAATGAAATGAAATGGGGTTAAACGCCTTAATTTATTGTACTATGGGACCGAGAGAGAGAGAGAGAGAGAGAGAGAGAGAGAGAGAGAGAGAGAGATGGGGTTTAACGTCCACTCGACACAAACTAGGTCATTTCGGGACTAACATATGGTTCAATTTTATTTCAATAATTCGCTTGCGCGTAGGGGTCTTTAGCAGTGGCAGGAAACCGGAGGACCCGGAGAAAACCCACGAGGTTGGACAGACAACCCTACTCCTCGTCACGTACTACCGGGGGATCGAACAACTGTCAGGAGACATAACAGTATGCGAAATATTTAAGCAAACGCCATTTCAGAGCATTGTAACTTTTAAAACAATTATAATATTGTATCTATCTATACTAATATTTGTGACTGTCGTTTGTCTGTCTGTCTGTCTGTTCGGGGTTGGCGGCTACACTAGGTCTGCCCCGAGTCTGAAATTTGGGGTATATGGGTAGCTCGGACCGGGGAGTAACATAGGCAAGGTGGCGTTAGTCTACCACTTCCGGTTTCGGGGTTATGACCCCCGAGCGAAGCCGGGCATTCTTCTAGTTTGAAATAAAATGAAATGGTGTTTAGCGTCTTACTTTTCTTACGCAGTAGGCTTCGAGAGAGTTTTCCACCGGCAGCGGTGTTATGGTCTACTTATATTTCGATTTTATCTGCCTGGGGATCTTTAACGTGCCGTCAGTTGAATTACACGGCTCCTCGGTTTTTGTCCAATCCCGAAGGAACAGACAACTTTCCCATGCCAGTCCCCAGTCGGCCAATTGAACGTAGGTGAATCTGTTATTGAACATCGCTGTATATTTCCCTTGCTGCCAATATTTTAATTATTATTCTATCATGCATTATAAAATTGTATCTAAATACATAAACGAAATTGATAAAGGCAAATATTTAGCCTGTAATATTGATCGGGATATGACATGCTGCTGAAGGCCAAGATCTAAAGTCAGTAATATTTTCAGTTGCAGATATTGCAGAGTTGTCTCCCCGTTCACGTGTTAGCACATTTCTACCAAGATGAAAGAGAGAGAGAGAGAAATGGGGTTTAACGTCCACTCGACACAAACTAGGTCATTTCGGGACTAACATATGGTTTAATTTTATTTACATAATTCGCTTGCGCGTAGGGGTCTTTAGCAGTGGGAGGAAACCGGAGGACCCGGAGAAAACCCACGAGGTTGGACAGGCGACCCTACTCCTTGCCACGTACAACCGGGGATTCGAAACCACGCCAGTCGACTCAATGACAGACTTTATGATACAGCGCGCGCACGCTTACCATTCAGCCATCCAACCCACCTTCTACCAAGATAATAACATGGAGGACGGTGTAGTGTTCTTGTTGTAGTTTAAAAAGGTCAAAGGTGTTTAACGTCCACTCGACACAAACTAGGTCATTTTAGGACTAACATATGGTTTAATTTTATTTCAATAATTCGCTTGCGCGTAGGGTTCTTTAGCAGTGGGAGGAAACCGGAGGACCCGGAGAAAACCCACGAGGTTGGACAGGCAACCCTACTCCTTGTCACGTGGATTCTTAATAAGGTAATACGACCAGAGTTTGAGACATTCGAAGCTTGTGATTACAATGAAGGACAGCGTTCTCCATGGGATTAGTTGAATTTTTAATAATTGCTAAAGCGATATTGCTCTAAGTGGGCAATAATTAGGGGAATGCCAAGTCACAGGCTATATTTCTCGTTCCAGTTAGGTTTCGTGCACGAGGTTGGATACCTTTACTCATTCTAGAACATGCCGCACCACTTCCCAATTAAGGAGTTCACATAATTAACATATTGCACTTCTGTATTATTTCGTGTCAATTAAAACTAGGGGCGGATATATTGCTGTTCGTGTCTTCAACTTCCGCACCGATATTAAAGTAGACTGGGGTCAATTCTTTAATGTCTGCGATATCACCTCGGTGAAAGCGGACGTAAAATACAACTAACTCACACACAATTCTTTAATTCAGGTTTAATGTGACACACCCTTTACTTCTCCCGCACAAAGGTTCTCTTTTTTAACCAAAACCTTTAAAACCATTTCACATCAAAGAAACAGCCCAAGAACGTCTGAAAATGGGAGAACAATGTAAGGCAAAAATAGCTCAAACAACATGGGTACCTTTGTCGTATTTTCACCTTTTTCGAGGTTGAAAGCGGTGATACAAAATGGCCGTTTTCAGCAACAATTTTATAATACTTTCCTTAGATTTTCTCATTTAGTCGTTGTAATTATTATCATTAATATTTTGTGTATTATATATGTTGCATTCCCACGAGAGAGAGAGAGAGAGAGAGAGAGAGAGGGAGGGGGAGAGGGAGGTCCAAATGGGTTAATGTTATTTTAATAATTCGTTTGCGCGTAAGGGTCTTTTAGCAGTGGGAGGAAACTGGAGGACCCAGAGAAAACCACGAGGTTGGACAGGCGACCCTACCCCTTGTCATGTACAACTTGGGAATCGAATCCCACGAAAATATTTATTTGGTAGTTTTCAATAAAATTATGGCAATTTTGGTATATAGATGGGAAGCAGACACCCAATTGTACCAGAAAAATACTGGATTCCCCGAAAACGACCCATGGGGCATCCAAGACGAAAATGTGATGGTATCCCTAAATCACAGACTGCCTCTGCGAATGGACGCGGTTCTAATGGCTAATGGTACGGTTGTGAGAACACTGAGAAAATTAAACGTCCAGTAGACTCTGAGATTAAACGGTAGCAAAAGAATTGACAGAGGATAATCAAGTAATTTACTGAGGCTTCGATATTTATGGTAAATGGACAGCGACTAACGGCAGATACAAGCTGTCAAAAGGAATCTTCCTCAGTGACGTTACGAGATAAGAAAGACAAAAAATTCTGAATCTGGCGGCATTGAATGGTTTTCTTCGGATTAAAATGTTTTAAGAGGGATTTTAAGCAACCTTTTGATAGAGAAAGTAGTTTGAATATGTTTTTAGTCTAAATATAGTATGAAATCACACAGTTTGTGGGCTACATGGGAAGGCATCTTTAAAAATTGTATAAGTCTAACTCATACACTGATAAGCAAAAACGGGATCCTGGTTCATGTGATACGAAAGAGCAAACACGCGTTTGACTAATCTACCTGGTGATAAATGGCAAATTAGTAAACAAACGTGATTTTTGTTTTTATTGTACCAGGATCCATGTAGTAGGTTATCTTAACATCATGACGATAGTAAACGATGTCACAGAAATCATCCGATCAATAACTTAAGATGGTAATCAAATTGATTTGATAAATGAAAGCCTCGGTGACTCAGTGATTAAGACTCGCTCACCAGGAGATGTTCGTAATGCCGTTGTCCTGCCAAAATTTAACTGTTAGCACACTGTGTGGCGTTCGCCCGTCTTCATTAGCCCGGTCGGAACAGAAAAGTAGGATTTTTAAACTCCATTTTATTTCATTTCAAGTGCAAAGCCTTCTTCAATCTCATTATATTCAGATATGTCAATTGAACTGAATTGCTCGTCAGTTGTCTTTTTCATCCAATCAGTTGGATTACCATCTTATGTCAATAAGTTGTTTAATAATTCTGATGCACCGACGGATCCTGGTACAGGTTTAAACGAAGAGAAATTTTGCCAGGACAGCGGCACAGTGCGGCACTACGACCTACTCTTATTTCGAATTCCAAGTGTTAAAGGTTCTTTTACGTGCACGCCAATGTGTAGACGGGGCTTCGGTTTTTCGTCCCAGTTTCCTGCCAGGTCACCCGTCCTTCACCAGTGAAATGGGGGGATGGGGTGGGGGGGGGAAGACAACGCCCGAAAATCCTGAGGGACTTTCTCAGCCAACACCGGGCGGGTGCGAACCCGCGACCTCCTGATTAGTGAGCCAGTGCCTAACACACCGAGCCACCGCCTAACACACCGAGCCACCGCGGCTCCGCTTTCCACTTGAAATTCAAAAACTGGTTTAAACAATATTTAAAGCTGAAGTCACTAGGTGCTAACCAGAGGACAAATAGTTAACCGCAAAAAACAGAAGTGGGGTTAGCACCTACTCAACACTAACTAGACAGCCTCTGTCCCATGTCAATGTCCACCTAGTAACCGCGGTTTCTATAAACAAAGTCTGTCATTGAGCTAAAAAGGGATATGACTCCCATGCACGGGACACGGGGTATAATTTATAACACTTGATACCACTTTTATGTTGATGTTACTACGTCTCCCGTATACCCGTCTAGGTGTGGAAATATCATATTATATAGTATATTTAAATTTAATTTCCGATACATTTAAAACGCTTGATATTATCTCTATATATGGGAAATTCAGATAGCTAATGATTGATCTTTTACTTGTATATTGAAGACACGCTTTCACGTTTCTCTCAGGTTAAAAGTACTTATGTTATTTATACACCTGTCTAGGTGTGGCAATATCGTATTATATATGGTATATTTACATTCGATTTCCAATGAATTAAAAAAAATATACCCGAACTACATTTTATTATAGTAATTTGGAATTGATACTGTCACTAGAAAGAAATCAAGTAGGAAGGGATTCTGATTTACTGAGTATTTTCTATTCATGACAAGGAATATACACACATTTATTATCTGTAAAACATGTATAATATAGGAGATGGATTTCCAAAATCAAGATCTAAAAAAAACATATTTATTCGCTCCGCCCAGCACCACTCGCGCCAGAATCACTAGCCCCACCCATCAATTCTACGCCCCGCCCCGCACACCCTAATCAAGATAGAAAGGGGAACAGGAGAATTGTATGTGAGTGTGCTTTAGGAAAACCCGATTCCCAGTAAATGTTTACTTTTCAATACCAAGATCAATAGCAAAGCACCCCTATGCCATTCGAAACCACGTGGACGGATCATTCAATGAACATAAAAACGAATAACCCATACCAATATTTATAATTGCCCCGAAACGAAATCATGAATGAATTAGACATTATCTACTGTAGGCGTTATACGGTGTTCAAACTGTAGCAGCTTATTCAATAAAAAAAAACTTAAATGAATTCTGTATAACATCTTTATATGATTAGTGACGTGGAATGCAACAAGTTTTGTCCAGTGAAACCGAAACTAACGACAATAACTTTCCGTTTTGTTAAATGAAATTCTATACTAGAAATTTATTGAAATTATTCTGGTTTTATACTGTAGTTACCGGTCCTACTGACGTATATCAGCGACACGCACAGACAAAGCGCGCCTTTTTGTCAATAGCGCCCAAGGCAACCGACAAGGCGAGATATGTTATAGGTGTTATAGATATGCATATTCTACTATGCATAGCATATCTAAAATTTATATGATTTCATTTAAAAAAATGAAAACAAAATGGATAATCGTAAGCTTGACAGATAAACACCCTTGTTAGTTACTGGCGATTATTGTTGCTGATTAGTAGAACAGGAAACTACAGCACAAAACCAGAAGTTTATCTTCGACTCAATTTTCCCCCTAATGTTTACACTACATTGTCATCTAACCTACTTTCGATCACAACGGTGTTTTACCAGTGACAGATCTATTTAGTATTCTATTAATTGTTCATACTATACCACCAAGCCCAACAGATCAACTCCTATACGTTTGGGGTTTCAAATTCCCATAATTAACCACAAAACAAAGCCCCAACGAATTTGATCTGAACACTGTTTACAAAGAAACGAATCTTAATTTGAATCAGATTGATTTTTATCGAAGTTACCAGCAAACTATGGGCAAATGACAATACAAGTGTTACGATAGATTTATGATATAACATACTGCAAGGAGTGTGTCATCGACTTAACTATGTCGTTAAGAAATATATTGTTTAAGAATGGCGATAGAGAATGACCTTGCATCATACCATTCAAAACAGTAAAAATTCGACTTTGTCCTACAATACATTCCTATTTAAGTCTACTTCTTACAAAACCATAGGCTGAAGGCGTATTGGTATTACTAAAATAACACCAATTTATGCTTCGTGAAGTTACTGTTAAGTTGACCCGTCTTCATTAGCCCAGTATAGAAGCAGAACAGTAGGACGTTATAAACCCCATTTCATTTCATTTCATTTCTGTTAAGTCGAAATCATTATTTAAAGAATACTACCCAAATGTGTTTTAAAAAAAGAAGTTTACTAAGATATAAAAAGTTTCGTACTAAGGCCTCTGGGGTAATACTGGTTAGTGATTTTTTCATGATCAATGCAAATTAGAGCCAACCAGTTGAAAAGATAGCCAGTTTACTATGACTTTCTTGTAGATAAACACCACAAAAAAATCACACGGTCACGCTCTAATTTGCGCTGGACATTAGCAGATTGATTTTTAAGATTGTCGCCTGATGCTCTATGTGACAAATGGGAAGATTCAAAGAATTATGTTTGTTTACATCCGGTTGATGTCACCTTGAGTTAAGGTGTAAATAAATACGTCACGAACTTTTGTTTGTAAGTATCTATGAATGAAAAGTAATATCTGATTCGGGGATGGCGATAGTATTTGTCCGGGAACGACGTTGTGCCGATGAATATACATAAGATTAGGATAGTTTTTCAAATCCATTATATTAGTATTGGAAATATAAACGTTATACTGGAATTAAAATATTGCTAATACCATAAGGGGCATCTTTCGCAGTACTCAGGGGGGTTGGATGGTCGAATGGTTAGCGCGTGTGCGTTGTATCATAAGGTCTGGCATTGAGCCAACTGGCGTGGTTTCGATTCCCTAGTTGTACATGACAAGGAGAAGGGTCGCCTGTCCACCTCGTGGGTTTCCTCCGGGTCGTCCGGTTTTCTCACACTGCTAAAGATCCCTAGGCGCATGCGAACGAATTATTAAAATAAAATTGAACCCTGTGTTAGTCCAGAAAAGACCTAGATTTTTTGTCGAGTTGACGTTAAACCCACCCCTCTCTCTCTCTCTCTCTCTCTCTCTCCGTAGAATTTTTTTTTTTTCTGTATCAAATAATACCAACTAGTTGACTATTTACCGATTACATTTATCAAAACACCTGAACGAATATGTATTTGAGTTAGTCAATATTCTTCCAATCACGTTAAGACATATAATGTAAAAGAGCGGCGATAGAAGATCTCCTTGTATCAAACCATTCAAAAAAGAAAAAAGAAAAAAAAAACTCTTGCAGCACTTCTCGACTTTAGGACAGTTTATGTCTGTGACTATGACATGCCTTGTGCACATGTCATCCTTATGGGTAGGATTTTACCATAGTTTGGGTACTCTCTAATGGGTGGACATATATTTCATTAAAAAAATCAAACTTTCCCGCGTGATTTCCATTCTGTATTGCTTGTTTTGACTGTGAGGTTTTTTTCTTGCAGTTTTCTAGCACTGTATATTTAAGTTTAAAAAGGCAGTAGTTCGAACTGAACAGACCCAACCAATGATTTTATAAGGCAATGCGTCAGACACTTTTTTAAAGGCAATTACTTGTCAGTTTCTGCAGCAAGTTTTTTTTGTTTACTCATTAACCTTGTAACGGAAGTGGCCAAAACAAAACATTCTAGTCCCCTCGTTTATTTACAAAATAAAACAATAATTGGGTGTGTTAAGTTTTCTAATGAGACCCGCCAATACAATGACTAACTGGCTATGATAGTTCGGTAGAGGTGAATTTACCTGCGGAACGTGACCTTAGATCTAAAGTTGTTCTACAAAAGGCCATGTAGGTTACAAACATCTATATATCGCTTCGTTGGGTTTCCGGATGTATACTATAACTAACCAGCCCGAGTAGCTATAGTATGATATCTCTTGCCACTTGACAATAGGGATTTTTTTCCAAGAAAAGTAAACGCCTCATTAATGACAAGTTGTCGACGAACGGACCACGTGGTAAATCTAAACCAATGGGAAATGTTTAAAGAAGTCGTGCTCAGATTGTTAAAAATAATTTGTGCATTATCGACAATGTATTTTACAAATTTATAAAATCTTCCTTCCGTATCCATTCTTTATAAATATCCAGTGATGTCACCGAACCATGGATAGATCCTGGATTCATTAAAATAAAACCCGGGACGCCCACCCTTTTGGCGTGTATTTAAACACATTTGCTACCATGTAAAATTCAAATTGGAAAGACAATCCAAACGAAAGAGCAGCATATAATCTTAAAGAATGGAAGTTGTAGCTAAGGTAAACTTTAGTTTATATTATTATATTTTGATTTCTCAATTTGCTGGTATGAAACTGAATGTAGTGGTATATTGTGCAAGTAAATTGTGTTAGTTTATTGCAGTTGTATGTTTATATTTTACTAAAAAGCATAAGATATAAAAATATTAAGATTTTCTCGTGTTGTATAACTGGATTACACATGGGGCTAAATCGCTCTTTTGTTTTTATGTAAGTTATTTTGGTGATTAAGTTTTTAGTTATGTGCCTCGGATTTGTTCTAAAATATTAACCAATTTCCGTTTACAACATGTGGTGATAATCGCTTATTTTTCCTAAGCTTTGTTTAATACGGGTGACAAATTTGGGGGGTATTATACCAAAAACTTGCGGCAAGGTAGTAACACTACTCTATTCCTCAACTGATATTCGTCAAGTGTTTATGATAAATTTAGGTTTTTGTTTTTAAATATAGTTTTAACATTTTTGTTTACTTTTTTTCGAACTAATTTGTTTCGATATTTTTAAATCGCGTTCTTAAATTACTATTTAAAACATAAAAAATACTATAAATTTTCAGGTAGTTTTTAACTGTGCCTTAGAATTCAATAGCTTCATTGGTATAACTCGTGAATAAGTCAATTTGTTCGTTGCTTGTTAATTTAATTGACTTTAAACGTCTTTTAAAAATTAATTAAGGATTAAAGAATTAAATGGTTTATTTATGAACAGGAATTATCAAGAAATATGAAAAGTGTGGGAAAACACAGGCGACAAGTGGCGGCATCTATCAGACGATACGCATCACTACCCGACGACAAAACAATACACGGTCGACAATATCATCAAGGAGCAGTGGCAGTAAAAGGTAAACAAATATTTTTTTCATTACAAAACAAAGCTAAGCATATTTTAAATACTGTGGTTCGAATTTAAAGAAGCTCCAATATGCCAGATTAAATGCTTTAATATATATAGACGAATACGTTTATTAAAAAACAAACAACATTTTGTATCCAAATGGAAAAGGAAATCAGTCTGTTCTGACTTAAGTTCTGACCAGGCTTACATGACGTTCTTCATCTTATGTGTCTTATGACAGGACATGAACGTAATGATAGTTCTGCCATCTCTTTCGTACAGGCTTTATTTTATACCATATTTACGTTAATGTCATACTAAAAGTATTTACATTAATATTGTATATATTTTTATTACTTCTTAAGTATGCCGTGTTGCTCCTATAAATCTTGTCCTTATAAAAAGTGTCTGTGTTGGTCCTATAAATCTTGTCCTTATAAAAAGTGTCTGTGTTGGGGTTTGGCGGGGGGGGGGGGGGTGCTTGAACGCGTATGTTTTAAATCCTAAGTCAAGTAGCATGGTTTCGATCCAAGGAGAGTTTTCTTCGTGACTTTCGTTACCCCCTACGTACAAGTGAATCATTGAAATAAAAATGTACCACACGTTATTCAATAATACGAAACTTTATTAGATAATGAAAAAGTTTACTTGTTTTAAAGAAAATGCAATTTGTTGAGTTCCAGTCTACATTTATGTTTTCTTTTTTATTTTCATAGAAAATCTCCCCCCGGTCAGTGTGACGTCATGGATATCAGACATCGTAGCAAACACCACTTTTGACAACCTATCCGATGTCACAATTTCCAGAAGCAAACGCATGATGCTGGATACTCTTGGAGTTGGAATTCTTGGTGCCAAAACTGAAATATCAGAAATAGTCTCAAAATGCGTCGCTAGCGGTGCCTTTGACTCTGTTCACGATGACAAACTGGTAAAGAGCTCTCTGTGGGGAGTGTCCGGAAAAAAGGCTTCACCAGCAATTGCAGCTTACATAAATGGCGTTAATGTCCACGCCATGGATTTTGATGATACCTGGTTTCCGGCTACACACCCTAGTGGACCTGTTCTTCCTGCCATCATAGCTTTAGCGGAGACGATGACCGGATCTCTTGAACCAACCACACAAGATCTGTTAGTAGCTTACAATGTTGGTATTGAAGTCCAGGGCTTGTTGCTTCGCTGTTCAGAAATTGCAAAGGAAATTCCTCAAAGGTAAGTGCACACTATATATTTGTCTACTTGTGCTTAATAGATCAACTCTAATAAACCTAACTGTAATATTTAAATAATGATGGCGGTTTTCATACACACCGCCGCTTATGTTTAATCTAATACCACATCACCACTAGGAATGTCAGTCTCTATCACATCTTCCAACTTGGTCCACAAATATTTGTATTCTTCTGTCTATATAACACGATTTTGTTTATGTACGATTTCGTTTTTCTGAACTGTGACGATAATGTTAGAATCATTGAAAAATTAAATTACACATTTTTATATTTTTCACAATTCAATTACAGGTTTCATCCACCAGCAGTTGTAGGGGTTATGGGTAGTGCTGCAGCTTCAGCTCGTCTCTTAGGCCTTGGTCCAAAGAAGAGTCGTCATGCGCTCGCTATCGCTGCATCCTTTGCTGGGGCACCAATGGCCAATGCTGGAACGACAACCAAGCCTCTTCATTCCGGAAAAGCTGCGAGATTTGGACTGGAAGCAGCTCTCTTGGCTGATTATGGACTCGAAGGTAATAGCGATATCCTCGATATGGCCTCTGGTTATGGTGCTTTCTATGATGATTATAATCCTGAAGAATTCCTGATCAATCATTCCGGTAGAACAGAATTTGTTCTACATGATCAAGATGTAGCCATTAAACGATACCCGGCTCATCTTGGTATGCATTGGGCCATAGATGCTTCTCTCGGTGCCAGAAATAAAGTATTCCCATTTGATGAACAGATCCACCCAGACCAAATTGATTCCATTGACATTTTGGCACCAAAATCCAAATATATCAACCGACCACTACCTTCATCTGAGCACGAGGCTCGACATTCCTTTCAGTTCAACGTCTGTACAGCACTTCTTGATGGTCATGTCACCTCAGATTCGTATCGCTCTAGTCACCGCCTTCGACCACAACTGGTAAATCTGTTGAAGAAAGCGGAAATCAGCACACCATCCGATAACCTAGCTACCTTTAAAGATATGTACATCGAGGTTCGCATTGTCCTTAAAGATGGCACGCAAGCCATATCCAGATGTGATACCCCGTATGGTCATTGGAGAAACCCTCTCTCCCAGAAAGATTTGGAAGGAAAATTTTTAACCAACACATCTTCACTTCATCTCACGAAACAATCTGAATTCATTAACCAAATCAGAAATATGGATAAAAGAAATCGATCTTCAAATTTCCTAAGTTTATTTCATTAAAACTGGGAGAATTCCGTACTGAATCTCTAACACCTTCATCTTTGATTATCTCTATTGAGTTATTATGATTTCACACTTCATCATCTTGTCATAACGTGTATGTTAATCATAAACTGTAAACACAAATAGTAAGTCAACTGAATATTATAAAATTCATATAATTTTTGCTCGGATGCCGCTTAACGTCACCTATATGTATTTAAAGTCAATTCTCATTTGTCATTATTCATATTTAGTTTATTTTACAAACTAATCCAGTTAAAAACTAATAGTAAGTCAACTGAATATTATAAAATTCATATAATTTTTGCTCGGATGCAGCTTAACGTCATCTATATGTATTTAAAGTCAATTCTCATTTGTCATTATTTATATTTAGTTTATTTTACAAACTAATCCAGTTCGCTTTTATACTAATTAATCAGCCGTTGATAGCAGTTTACATCTTAATAATTGATTTGATTAATTGGTAAAAGTGAAAATATGTGCATAAATATTTATGTGTAAATAACATGATCTTGTTTGTATATAAAAATTCGTTTCATTTTGTAAAAAGTGTAAATAAATATTTTTTATTTTTTTATATTTTATGTGATAATTTAATAGAATTTGACTGTTATAGTTGTTTTAGTAAATGCTGAGATGTGTCTTAAGTCTTTCCCTAGCTATTGTTTTCCGTACACATTGACATGCACTTAAAAGACCCTTTGACAGTTGGAATTCAATATAGAGTAGGCCGTAGTGCCGCTGTTCGGGCAATATTTTATCATAGCACACTGTGTGGCGTATGTCCGTCTTCATTAGCCCACCAGACGGAGCAGAACAGTAGAGCGTTTAACCCCATTTTGATTCATTGTATGCTTTATTAGTCCCAACCGTCCGCCCGCCAAAATTTGTATATTACATTACTCTTATTACTATATACGCTTCGATAAATAGCAGCAATATGGCCATCATCCTAGTGGGTGTATAGATTACATACAGTGCAGAGCAACACGACTTTAAACTCCATTTCGATCTCTTCTTCTAACTGAGTATCGTATACATGAAACCAACTGGTACAGACAAGTAGTGGGCTAATCCCGATTCCATGACATTTCTGAAATCGTGGCCCAGTATGGCACTGGCTTACTAACCAGGAGTTCCAGACTTCAAGAAACTTGGCCAAGAGAGTTCCTCGGAATTGTCCAGTCTAGTTGCACCGTGTCAGTAGTGCAGGACAGTTATAGGCGTCTAGTCCGTGCAGATGGGTGGGAAAAGTGAGATCCACTCGCGTTCTCGATGTAATGGGGTGTAACGTCCTACTGTTCTGCTCATAAACTGGACTATAAAGGCGGGCATACGCCATACATTATATCCTAAAATAGTATAACGTGTCTACACGTTAAATTCTTTGCTCCTTTAACGCATCAGGACAGAAAGCCAGGGGGTATAACTCCTTCACAGTAGACACGTTATACTATTTTAGGATATAATGTATAAAGGTTTATATCTATTTTTATGTCTAATCCATCTTAATAAAAGAAACAAATTCTTCAATAAATCTATTCTACTGTAACAGCGATACAAAACCACAGCCGCGTTTGTATTTTAGATTCGTTTACAAATGAAATGAAACGAGGTTTAGCTTTTTATTTTACTTCAGAAACCGGGCTAATGAAGACACGCATACCCACGATAGGAATTTTGCCTGGACAGTGGAATGTTTCCAGGTCAGCCTTCGGTCAAAGATTACGCCAAGGAACTTGGTTTGGTCTTTAAACTCGATTGTTTTCCCATTCATACACAGAGTTATTCTGCTTATCCCTCTATCCCTGCTTACAAGCATACCGACTGTTTTCTTCTCCGAGACATTGAATCCCCAATCGTTTGCCCATGCCATGAATTTGTCTAAGGCCTTCTGCATTTTCTTTTGTAGTTCACAGAAGTTCCTCCCTTTCCTCCATATGGTACTGTCATCAGCAAATTTAGCTAACTCAGTTTTGGCGTCGAGGTAGGACGATTTCTGTATGTCGTTGATCATGATATTGAAGAGAGTGGGACTGATAACCGATCCCTGAGGCGTGCCATTTTCTAATGTTTGCCGGCACTCAGGAATCTGCCAACATTCACCTGTATCTTTCTATCGCTCAGAAAGCTTTTGATCCACCGAAACATTATGCCCGTTATACCAATACGTCCTAACTTGAAGAGCAGCCCGTCTAGCCAGACTAAATCGAAAGCCTTAGTTAAATCTACGAGTTCCCAGAGAGGAGTGCCTGCGACATGACTTGCTGTAGTCTCACCAAGTGGACCGTTGTTGAACGCCCTTTCCTGAACCGGCTTTGATTTTCGTCGATCAGTCGGTTGCTCTTCAGATAGAACTGTAGTCGTATGTTAACCATTGTTTCCAAGGTTTTGCACAGTGTGGATGTCAAACTTACTGGTCGATAGGACTCTGCCTTTGTTCTCTCTTTACCTGGTTTTGGAAGAGGGATGACGTTGGCTTTCCGCCATTCTTTAGGTACCTCTCCTGCCAGCCAGGATGTGTTGAAGAAGTTTAGTAGTATCCTTTTGGCATTTCTAGGCAGATGTTTGAGCATCGAGTACTTTACTTTGTCCTCACCAGCCGCACTATCCTTCTTGAGGAAAAGAGCCTGATTTAACTCCTCCTCAGAGAAGGGTAGATTGATTGGTTTAGCCCCTTCATTAGGTTCAATTTCTAATGAAGGGTGCTGTGAGTAAAAGATTTCCTTTCTCTTCAGAAACTCTGGTGATTGGTTTTCGTCCCTGCTTGCGTCAGCGAAAGCTTTTGCAAGTAGATCTGCCTTTTCATTGCCGTTGGTAACATACTCATCTCCATTCTTTAGGTTTGGTGAAATGAAATGGAGTTTAACGTCCTACTGTTCTGCTCCTAACCTGGGCTAATGAAGACGGACATACGCCATACAGTGTGCTATGAGGGAAATTTTGCCCGGACAGCGGCACTACGGCCTACTCTTATATCGAATTCCAACTGTCAAGGGATCTTTTACGTGCACGCCAATGTGTACACGGGACCTCGGTTTTTCGTCCCATCCGAACGACTAGACAGCTTTCCTTGTCAGCCCCTCCGTCCTGCATCACTGACAAGGGAGAACCACGCCGGAAAATCTGGATGAACTTTCTCGGCCAATGCAGGGATCGAACACCCGACCTCCAGGCTAGCGAGCTAGCGTCTTACCCACTTAGCCACGTGATCCCCCTCTTTAGGTTTGGTATGTTGAATGATCTGCGCTTCCCGTTCATGGCGTTCAGCTTCTTCCAGACGGCACCTGTTTGCGTGTTTTGATTCAACGCATTACAGAATGTCATCCAGTGTCCGCTTTGTGCCTTCCGGATGGTGTCTCTTGCGGCGTATTTCAACTTCAGGTAGTTTTGGTGATTGACTTCATTGTAGTGGCGTTTCCGTAGGCGTAGTGCCTTCTTTCTTTCGTTAACCGCCTTCTGACATTCTGGTGACCACCAAGGTTTTCTAATCCTTGATTGCCCTCCAGAAGTCTTGGGAATGGAGTTGTCTGCGGCACCTATACTAGCACTCGTGATGTTGGCTGCGTACACGTCGATGTTGGCATCGATGATGTCTTCTTCTTTCCACCCAAGGCAGCCTACACGGAAGTTAGCCCAATCAGCCTCTTTTATTTTCCAATTGGGTTTCCCGTTACAGACTTCCCTGGTTGTTTCACATTGGATGCAGAGTTCTATCAGTAGATGGTCGCTGCCAAGTGTTTCATCTTCGTGTACTTGCCAGTCGCAGCGGTTTGCCATACCAAGCGTACAGAGCGTGAGATCCAGATGTGAAGGTGAGGCATTTCCTCCAACAAAAGTAGGGCTCTCGTCGTTCAGTACGCATAGGTCGTTCTCTTCTATTATTGAGCATAGGCTAATCCCCCGACAGTCATTCCTCGGTGACCCCCACAGGACATGTTTTGCGTTGAAATCCCCGCAAAACACAAATTCGCCCTGCGGAAGCTGGTCGAGAAGTGACTGGAAGTCAACTGGTTTTCTCGTGACATCTGGGGGTACATAGACGTTCACTATTGTCAATTTTGTATTATTGCTCAATGTGATGGCTATGCCCATTGCTTCTAGAGGGTCCTCTACGTCCAGCGAAACAGAAATATAATTTAAGTTATCACTGACGTAGATGGCAAGACCACCGCCACGTGTCGTGCTGCCCGGTCTGTCCCTTCTCTGACAAGTGTATCCGGGCAAGTAGATGTCGTTCTTGGTTGGTAGTAGCTTGGTTTCTTGGAGGCATATTACATCTTTGGGGTTGCGGGTGATGTATTTTCTCAGCTCAGCACATCTGGGGGCCAGTCCATTAACGTTTAGTTGTAGAACTTTTACCTGGCCCGCCATGATGACTGTCCGGATGGATGCCTCTCTGTCTTGTCTATTTATTGGTCAATTGGCGTTTCACATTCCATAGGAGGTACCTCATTAGTGTTCGTCTTTGGTGTTAAAACCGGCAAGCAACTGGGCATATCGCCAGTGCTGTAGTGACGAACATGAGATATCCTTCTACGGAGTGCGAGGTTTGCCGTTTGATCGCCTTTTGTGGTTTCTTCTTCTCTTGATCTTTTTTTTACCGTGTTGATTGAATTAATCATGACACACAGGACATCGGGGTTGACCATGTGTGTCCTTATTTTGCCGAGTAGGTTTGTCATCTTGGTAGTTTGGTCCTCATTGGACACGGCCACCCGGAGGAACTCGATCATGAAGTTCATGAAGCCACTTTCCGTTTTAAATTTAGGAATGAAGTGTGATTCATGAACATTCGTTTTCGGTTCCTCTTCCTTCTTGGATTTGGTCTTATTCTTTGGTGTTGGTTTGTCTTTTTGGTTGGGTGCCGTGGTGGGTTTTTTCGGCGTTGTTTGGGATGTCGATGGAATCGGCCCCGGAATTGGTTTTGCAACCGGAGCCCTATTCCTGACATCTTTTGTCCTCCCTTCCTTCTTTTTCAGCATCAATGAGGCTTCATTGAAACTTACCTGGATCTTTAGAGTTTCCTTGGTGTTCTGGATTTTCGGGCATTCAGGAGAGTTCGTTGCGTGACCTCCTTTACAGTTCGAACATTTTTTTTGAATGCCCGCCCTGCAGTCGGTCGTCGCATGACTCCCCCCACACTGGGCGCACACAATCTTTCCTTTGCAGTACTTGACTGTGTGCCCCAGCTTCTGACAGTTGGCGCACTGCCTTACCCTCTGTACATAGGGGTGAGTACGTCGGTTGAGGTAGACGATTTTAAGTGCCTCGGGCGCTGTACCTTTCTTGAAGGTTAGGGCGACGCTTCCCTGGTCCTTCCCCTCGGCCACTTTAAACCGATATACCTCGGTTGCTTGGTACCCCCTCTCTATTAGATCCTCCAGAATTTCGTCCCCGATATATTCGGCTGGTTTCCCATGAACAACCATGTGATAAAGTAACATAATAAATGTTATCTTTAATGTCGACGTAATTAATTATATGGAAAAAAAACCACACAAGATTTTAAAAATGTACACAAGTTTGTGTTAAGACATTGAAAAGAACACAAACTTGTGTCATTGCAATGCAATA